AGCACAAAAGCGCCGATATCAGCGTTTATAACCGTGACGTTAACGTGAGATTGTTATATAATATTATGGCGCAAAGTCAAGCGTTGTGTCAGTTATAAGGGGTGGTGTGCTAAAAGCTCCTCCCTACCTGTCCCCTGGGGTTTATATCTAACACTTCTTGGGACTTGTGCTCCATTTTCTCGAAGGACAGCAGTTTTTGGTTGTAGCCCTGCAGGCTCTTCTCCTCCAGAGCGATCATCACCCTCCAACAGGGAGGAGAGCCGGTCCCCCACAGCAGAGTCATGTCCTTGGCCATGGCTTTAACTTGAGATTCACAGTTTGGACGGTCACTGAACTGAACGCACAAAGCAACAGCGCATAAGAAAAATACCCAGTTACTTTTCTTATGGTTTGTAGGAGGGGATGTCAAGCTTTTATAAGAGCGTGATTGACATCTACTGGCTGGAAGAAAAAACTACAACTCAATCATCATCTTTCATTTGCCTTCTTCATATTTTTGATAGTCACCACTGAATAATTTGTTGAAATAATAATAATAATAATAAAATAGGTTTGTTTGTACCTTCTGCACTATGTGTAGCCGATGACAAGATGGTAATCACATTGTACACTTCCTCCCCCAAATATTCACATATGCTCTGCCTCTATCCCAATACAATATAGTATTATATAGTATTTTAGCATAATTAGAAAGGTGACTGACCTGAAATAAACAAGCTGTTTTTATGAAAAATAACTGATGGAAGCTGTGTCAACATTTAATGCTATAAAACTTAATTCTGTTCCCGAACATTACTTTAAGTCATTTTATTTGTAAGCAAATATATAAACAACAAACATCAGCCTCGGTGATGTAAAACAAAAATTTAAGTTGGTTTTGAAGACAATGGTCAGGTCCTGATGTGAAGCAGCAAGCAGGTCCAAAGTTCAGTGGCAGCTACAGCAAAGGCCCGATCTCAGATATATGCAGAAGCATCTGGTCAGATGACCTCAGTGATATTTTGGGAGAGTGTGTAGTTAAAAGATCAAGAAGGTTGAGATGATGATGTATTCGATGACTCAGAAACAATAAATAGTCATAAAAAAAATAAAATCACCTCTTAAACACATCAAAAAAGCCAAAGCAATGGGACTATGGTCTTATGTGGTGACTGGCAAAAAAAAAACCCAAAAACATAGCAAAGCCTGGCCGATGCTAAAATAAAGCCTATTTTAATAGTCAACCCTGGATAAAATAAAAACATGAAATGCTTTCTCAAAGCCAGCAAAAAAGAGAAAGGGCTTAGCATTTGTAAGGAACCTCAGTTTGAAGAAACTAGCTCTGATTTGTTTAT